AGGACATTTTTTGTACATTCTGGGAGATGATAAACCATTTTCAACTTTTCAAAATACTATAAATACTATACAAATTCTTAATGAAAAATTTGTACCAAAAAGTACTAAGCAAATCACTCCACTGGCTGTAAAAAAGGCACCAATAACCTGTTTTTTATGTCTAATAAAATATAATTTTTATATGAAATCCTACTCTACAGTCTGTCTACTATAGTTGAATATCATTTTTACATGTTTGCCTTTGGTCAGTTTTGACAAAACAATAAAAACACCACTCCATCTTTATTTCTCTTCTCTTGAGACTAATAGACAATTCTATTTTACAATATTTAATATATAAAGCATTCCGAAGTCAAAATGTGTGGCATTTTTCATCTTGCCAATTTCATGTTAAGTCAAGGGCCTGTTACCAGGCCAAGAAACCCAAACTTAGACAAAAGCAATCCATTGGGATTAGAAATTTGCCAAAACTCATAATTCAAAAATAAACTGTTAAAGATGGTTGTGAGGTTTTGGCACTGTGATTTCAAGTCATTCCATAACAGGGTTTGTATTTCATCTAATCAGCAAATCGGAAACTATAAAAGTTTTGGTGGTGTGGAGGAATTAAAATTTGGATTGTAATATACAAGTCTTTCCTTCCCTTCCATATGTTGAAGTGAGTTAAAACTTTTAAATCCTGTTTTTTAAAAAATCCTTATAAAAAATAAAGCAGCCTGTAAAATCATATTTTTGGTACAGGAAACTTTAAATATTAAGCCTTGAAATGAAGAATTTGGGGAAAAAAAAAAAAAAAAAAGAACATATAGCTTCTACAGCCAAAGTAGTGTCAGACTCCATGTATATTCAGAACTAAATACATTTAAGCTTCCAAACTTTTTTTTTCTAAGTGACCTTTTCTTTGTTTTTGAAAATCAGGCATCTTATACTTACTTAAAAATGATGTCTTTTGAAATCCTTAAGAACATCTCAAAGATAGTAGTTGGAGCAAGAGATGTAGATGAATTATATTCTTAAGTAGAGCTAAATGAATTACTATACTATCAAATTATAAGTGAAAATGGTTTTATAAGTTAAAACATTTTTTCTAACAAATTAAACTCAATATATTATAACCTCTAAATGGAAGAAATAGCAACTTGTCCTCATAAACTTTAAGTAATGTTCTCCTTTTTCTTTCTCTATTTTTTTCTGTTGAGCCTTATATTGATTTCTTTCTTAATATCTTAATTTTATTTCCTTTTCCTTTTGTTCTTATACGGAAAAATTTCTTCACCTTTATTCTCATATTCTTCCAATGAAAATTGTTCTGATATCATATTTTTGTATTTCATTTTATTTATGTATTTATTTATTTTCAATTATGGCTTACATTCAATATTATCTTATACTAGCTTCCAGTGTATAAAGTATACTTTATAAATTATATACTTTATGATCATCCCCAATAATCCTACTACCCACTTAGCACCATACATAGTTATTATGTTATTGACTATATTCCCTACACTAAACTTTATATCCCCATAATTATTTTATAATTACTACTTTGTACTTCTTAATCACGTCACCTTTTTTACCCAGCCCTTTCAGCTTCTCCCATCTGGCAACCATTAATTTATTCTCTGCATCTATGAGTCTGGTTCTGTTTTGTTTGTTCATTTATTTTGTTCTTTTGATTCCACATATAAGTGAAATCACATGGTATTTGTCTTTCTTCGTCTGACATACTTCACTTAGCATAATACCTTCTAGGTCCATCTATGTTGTTGCAAATGGTAAAATTTCATTCTTTATAATGGCCAAGTAATATTCCATTGTGTATTTATACTACATCTCCTTCCTCCAATGGTCTACTGATGGAAACTTAGGTTGTTTCTATAATCTTGGCTATTGTAAGTAATGCTGCAATAAACACAGGGGTGCACATATCTTTTTGTATTAGTGTTTCTTTCTCACTTTTCATTATTTATGTTTTAATGACATCCTACTTCATGAAATACTTCATTGCAATCTCTTTCTAACCATTTAAGAAATGTTTTTTACTTCTCTTTCTTTCATTGTCCTCCTAATAATTTGTGTCCAATCTTTTACATTTGAGGGTTTCATATTATGATTTATGATCCTTGGTTGTGCATATATAAATGTTTTTTAAATCATCACCTGATACCATGTTTTTTAGTGATTTGAGAAAGAAAGACAGACAGTCAGAAAGAGAAAGAGAGAGAGAAACATCAATTCATGAGAGAAACCCTGCCATTTGTCATTTGTCTTTCCTATTCTCCCTCTCCCCCCACTAAGGATCAAACTTGCAATCTAGGTATGTGCCCTGACCAGGAATCAAACCCACACACATTGGTATATGAACAATGCTCCAACCAACTAAGCCATCTGGCCAGGGCTTCTGTCCATTGATATTTAGCAGTAAGTTAAATAAAAGCTGAATGATGTTCCTAAGGCACAGATGTGCTTTATGGACTGGACAGATTCACTTCTGTGTATCTGCTTTGGAAACTATCATTTATAGGGCCTCTCCAAAAGTAGGTATGTGGAAATATTTTTCTAACAATGATCAGTTTCTCTAGAAGAGAATTCAGCAATTTCTTGGGAGGCGGGCTGTATGTGGGGTGGTGAGGTGGGTTAGCTGATGGAGGATAAGCTCTGTGCTGTTGGTGTTGTGCATGTGATAGGGGAAGGGTACTGACTATGGAGTATCCACTGGAAGACATTCACTCAATCTTTTTTTCAGTCCCTCTCATTCCACTTTCTTTTTTTTTTTAAATATATTTTATTGATTTTTTACAGAGAGGAAGGGAGAGAGATAGAGAACTAGAAATGTCAATGAGAGAGAAACATCTACCAGCTGCCTCCTGCACACCCCCCACTGGGGATGTGCCCGCAACCAATGTACATGTCCTTGACCAGAATCGAACCCGGGACCCTTCAGTCCGCAGACCGATGCTCTACCACTGAGCCAAACCGGCTTCGGCTCATTCAACTTTCAATTGCGCAAGCTGTTGCTGAGTCCTCACCTCTATTATTCAACAGCTCTGCCACCATGCGCTTCCTTTCCCTGGCCTTACAGGTGAAGTGCCTGGTTGGGGTATTGTGTACATGGGGGAGAGGTCTGACTGTTCCATATGTTATAACGGATTACCTCATTTTATGCTCTTTAACTCTCTTCTATGCTAGCTGCCTCAAAATCTTGAGTCGTCTCCCCAGGTTTCTTTTTGAGTATGTAATATTTCTTTTCATTGTTATCCCATCCCAAAGCTAGCTCTGAGAAATCAGTTGTAAAATCTCCTTCCACTTTCTGACTTCCAAATTCAGTTTAAATAACATCTCCTCTCTCACTGATCATCTCCATAAGAGTACTCTTTCTCAATGTTTTATTCAGTAGAAGTTTATTATAAACATAATAACCATTACTTTGTTTACTATTCTTTCCATACCTCACTAAGTAATTCCTTCTAGATTTAATTGTGTTTTTTTTTTTTTTTTTGAAAGACATCTATAATTTATTTGGCAAAAGCTTTTCATGGGCTGATTTTTTATTTATTTTCTTGGCCTAAAAATTCCCTGATCATGCAAATAAAGTAAATTCAAAACCCAAAGCCTGGTAGGAGAAGGACTTAGGATAAACTCCCAGCAGAGACTTCCTTCATTCTCCATTCAGATCCCATGCTGAGAAAAGCTACTTTCTTGTATCAGTAAGCGATCTTGGTATTATTCTTTCACCAAGAATACAAATTTCTCTGCTTAATTAGGCATCTAATTCCTAGCCTTCCACCCAATCCGAAGCTTTGTCTCTTATTCCAGCAAGAACAAAAACAAACAAACAAACAAACAAACAAAATACCTCTTCCCTTCCCACAGGTTGTCACAAGTAGGAAACTATCCCAAATCAGCTACATGATAGATTACTGTGCACTGTTTTTGGTGTTTAGTTTTTTCATTTCTAGCCACAGGGAAATTCTCTTGCTACTTTTTAAGCTATGCATTAAGAGGATATGTGTTATATTTTATTTGGCATATCTAGACTTTCATTAGGGAGATGTTTTCTGATTACTTAGTCTGCCCATATAATTTCTCTAATAGCGTTTTAGTGATAGAATAGACACATTGTGTTTAATTGAGCAGCATCTGTGAGAAAATAAATGCTATTACTTTTAAATAATTATAAGATACATTTCTATGCACTCACTTAGAAATCACTTTCCTGACCTTTTGCTCTGTATTCCTTATATTCATTTATTTTTATAAATTTGGAGAAAGATCAGGTGATATAACTAAGTAACAGATTCAGTTTAGGATTGAAGACTAGTTTTATTGAGTAACTGAGTGAGCCCAGAAATTTCACGTATTTTAGACAAGTATCTATTGTATCAAATAAAAATATTAATAATACTTTGAAACACATGAAATTTTGATATTTCTAAGTCACAAGAGTAGAATATCAGCAATTTCTTGTGCTTCAAACTAACACCACTTTCCTAGGACTTAGCCTCTAAGTGCTTGTCACACAATGAGTAGCCAAACGGTGGCTCCACTTCTTTTCTAATAATTTCAGCTAGAAGGAATTCTAGGTGATACTGATCCACACACATGCAACAGTTTGCCTATTTCAAAAGAATTAGACTTAGTTTTACATTGCAGCCAGTTTGGGGTTAATATTGGCTTGTAGAACTATAGTAACATAAGAACATAATCTTTGTACAAGTATTGTTATTATAACAAATTCTTATGTAACCACATATTGAGGATTCTTCATGTATATGTTTTCATTAACTTACATCAGGGATCATGATATGTCAAATTTTACATAAAGCAAAACCCACAGTCAAAGAAATAGTTTTTTCCACATTTTCTATATAGGGTTCTAATTTAGTATTGCCATCATTATGCATCAACTGGGCTAAGAAGCAGCACCTCAAACCACATCTAGCTCGGTCTTCAGGGAGAAAACCAGCTTCTAAAGGGTGAGGAAGGTAGGTACTCACCGTTAGAGCTAAGAGTTTCCCATAGGTGAGATGAGCAGGGATGTGGTCAGTCTTGGATCTGAGTGATTCCATGTACCAGTACTCTGCCTCGGGGAGTTTGCTTAATCGCATATACGCTTCCCCTGGAAAATGAAGCATGGCAATCAATCTGAGGACACAGCTCTCCAACAGCCTTTGGAACAGCATCTCATCACCATGCTTATATTCCATGACGTTTCCAGAACTTTCATGTGCTATCTCATTTTATTCACTACAAGTCATCATCATTTCACTTTACAGAAGAGAAATTAAGTGAAATGGATAAAATAAAAGGTCTACTGAGTGGTAAAGCTTTAAGTTTTAATCTACGAACCTCTGATTCCCAAGTATATGTGCTTTGTCACTATTAGAGTGTGTGTGTGCTTTAAATTTGTTCTTTCTTGTGTAAAATCATTTGCTTTTTTAATTCATATTCATTCATTCCTTTAGAAACATAAGCATTTAGAGAATAACTACTAAGTGAAGAGCATTATGCAGGACCTAGAGGAGAGAAGTTTAGGGTCATACCCTCCAAGGATTACAGTCACATTGAGAAAGTAAGATTAAGTGAAGGAATGAAAAACTTGTGGATTATGTATTAATGCTAGACTTTTTCAGAACTATTTGCACTTTACATTTTAATAAGTAAATAAACTTTATCAATTTCATTTTTAAAATCTAATATATACATGACAATTATTGCCCATCAGCATCTATAAAACTAGTCTGAGGCCTTTGAAGCATCTGTTATTACATTCAGCCTATATAAATTTTACCTACCAAATAGCATTTCACTAATAGCTAAGAGAGAAATAATTGGAAATAAAGCCAAAAGTATAGTAAGTTGTCCTTTTATTATAATGTCTCTTTCCCTTATATAATTATGAAGAACATTCACCCAATGGAAAAATATATATATTTTAAAATAATTTGTATATTTAAGTTAAATATTGTAGCTTTAACAAGCACTGCAAATGTAGATGCTATTCAGTTTCTGAGACCAACCAATAGACTGGTAACCTGCATTATTATTTAAGCCGACTTTTATAGCTTCACTAATCATCATTACGATAGCTTTTTCCATTGATACGCATGATCATTTGTTTATTCTATATGTATTACCCACATTGATTGTACATCCTTATGTCAAGGATGAGCTAGCTTCCTTTTATTTTAATCATATTCTTCTTCTATCAGTACAGCATTGCCAATACTAATACGTTTGAAGAATTGAATTAATTTGAGTCTCCTGACCTACTGAGTGCCCTTTGCTTGCTGGTCAGTAGAAAATATTGGTGAAAAGTATATGTATGTATCTACTTACATACATCTATGTGTTTCCAGTTCTAAGAACAGCCCTTACATCATACTATCATAAAAATAATACCTAGAAAATGTTCTGTATTGTTTTAGTAAAACTTAAAACATGTTTGCTCTTTAAAAGAATTCGATTAGATTAAATCTCTAATTTAATGAGTGAGATGCAAAAACTGCTGAAGTAAAGGCCAAAGACTGCAATGAAATACACAAAACACTCACAGTTGTTAGACTGGTAAAATTAGGAATGAATTTTTTAATTTTCTGTAATAATTATATTGTTTTTGCTACAATATCTTTATAAAAATTGAAATGCTGTCAAAGAGTTATATTTTATTTTTTTGCCATGACAAACTAACAAACATTCCCAAATAAAGAAAACAGTAATTTTTCTTAGGAAAAGTGAACTGCTCTTCACATTAAAATCATTCTAGATATAATTTATACAATAGGAAGAATGCACAATCTCTAAAGTACTGAAATTTTTAAAGCAATTAATGGTAAATTATATTCAAATATTTATCTCTAAAATGTTTTCTAAATCCAGCAGAAAACACATATTAACATCAGAGTTACAGCTGAAGTGGGCTTGTTGGCAGGTTGTTTGGAATCAACCTGAAATTCTACTTTGGGTCTTTAAGTGATCATAAGTCCTATTTTAGAAGTTGTACAATCATTGCATTTAATATAGATTCTACTTTTTATTTATAACAAATCCAATTAATTTGTAGAATAATAACAGTAGGTTGTCTGTCTAGAAAAAGAATGCAAGAAAACCACAATACCAGAGAGCTTCAGATTCAAATATTTATATTTAAGTTGATGATGTCTGAAAATCACTTCAGACAGTGTACTTTCTAAGTCAGAAATATATCATTATTAAAACCTCCTTTTGAAATGAAAAATAATTAATTTACTAAATAATTCATAGCTGGCCCATTGTCTTCAGTAAAAGCTCATAAGCAATTTATTAGTTTATAAAGCTCACGAGATGGACAAATATCAAAGGATTAGAAATAAGAAAATAAAATCTAACAACACTTGTTGAAAATGTATATAGCCAACCTATTTGGGTACTATTCATTACAACGCAGAAAATCCTAAATAATAAAAGTCTAATATGCAAATAGATTAAACAGGGAACAATAGGTCACTATGACATGCACTGACACTTGGGGGCGTGCGCAGAACATGGTAGGAATCAGTGGTGGGTTGGTGGAGCAGGTGAACAGAAATGCCAGAGCAAGGCGGGGTGCCAGGAGCTATCATTGGGGCGAACCTCTGGTGGTTACTGAAAATTCTTTGCTCCCTCGCACCACTGTTCAGCCCAGTGTTCGCACTCGCTGCTGGCTCCAGAGCCCTGCTCGTACCCACAGCAGGCAACAGAGCTGCCATATGCACCCACTGCCAGTGCCCAGTGCCCAGTGTCAGTCCCGATCACTTGGCAGCATCAGTGGGTGCGAATAGTGGCTGCCAGCGCCTATTGCTCTTAAGGGCTTCTCCACCTCCCTCTGCTCCTGAGGAGCGATCAGGGCAGCAGCTGCCACTCACTATCACTGATGGCGCTGAACTTGCTCACACCCACTGCTGGTGCCAGCCCCAATTGCTGTGCACTGTCAGCAGGTGCCAGCGGGGCCGGTGCTGTCAGTGCGTGGGAGCAGCAGTGTCGAAAGCAAGGCTGCTGGCAGATAGAGGTCCAGGGGTAGTGGCGGGAGAGGCCTGGCAGGGGTGCAGAGGATGGGCTGAAACCTGACCTTACCTTAGCCTCTCGGCCCTCAGTTCCTTTCAAAGTGCATGAATTTGTGCACTAGGCCCTTAGTGTTTATATAACCACTCAGTGCATTTCAGGTATCAAAATGATTACAATGACAATAATTCACTGAAGTTTACTGTGAATCAGAACAGCAAGCCGGAGGATGGGTAAATGTCTGATTTATGTGCACCCATGCCTCACATTCGGCATCTTTGGGCATGCAACATGTTTCCTCATTTCCCTCAAGAAGGCTTTCCTAATAACCACCATTCAATAACTACCAATTATTCTGAGTAGGTTTCTAAAATGAAACATGTTTACCATCTATTCATTACTTTATATATGCATCTGATTTTTTATTAAGAAATGTCATTACCTGGACTTTACAAATGAGGAAAGCAAGAAGCATAGTGGCTAAATAAAACACAAGACTCATAAATGTGGAAAATGTAAAGCTGCAATTCAGCCCAGAACTACCTGGCCTCAGAGCACACTGCTTCACACAGCTGGTGCAGACTAATCACAAACTTTCTGATGCTCTGGCTGAGGTGAAAATTGCACTCTCTTTCTTACTCCAAGAAAATTGTTTTCTAGTCTGTGATACATTTGCCATGGAGTTTATTTCACTTTGCCTTGGCTTATCTCTTGAATTGAAGAAATAAGAAAGAACAATAATAATCCATGGATGACCTTTACTAGGTGTACCAGTTAATAATGCAGATTTCCAATCATAGAAAGCATGATAATTTCAAGAGAAACACCAAAAGTGCTTTATTTAAAGTAATGCTCATCACTAGCTACACATTTTCTCTATCTTTCAGGTAATTTGTGGATACCATCCCAAAAGAACTTTTCTTGTTTGGAGGCAAATCATTCAGAGACCCAATTCACTTCTTCCTACAGTGCTGCTCAGAAAGTGCAGGTGTCATCAATCAGAACAACTGGTAATCTGAAGGAGCAAGATCTGGTGAATAAGGCGGGTGGGTTAATACTTCCCAGGCAAGATCTTTTAATGTGTCTTTAACTGGTTTTGAAGTGTGTGATAGTGAGTCATCATGAAGCAAAATTACTTTGCCATGTCTTCTGGCACATTTTTGTCATTTCACGATCAAAGCATGGTTCAAAATTATTACTTGCTGTCGATAGCGATCAGTATTAACAGTTTCACCTGGTTTTATAAGCTTATAATACACCACAACTTCCTAATCACACCAAACACAGAACATTGTCTTCTTTTCAAAGTGATTTGGCTTTGCAGTCAATGTTGATGGTTGATCTGGATCAACTCATGATTTTGTACATTTGGGATTCTCAAAATAAATCCATTTTTCATCACAAATCACAATTCAATGCAAAAATGACTTTCTTTCATGCTGTTAAAGCAACATTTTACTGATGACTTTTTGGTTTTCCATTTGTCTTTTGTTCAGTTGATGTGGCGCCCATTTTCCTTCCTTTAAAATCTTTCCCATTGCTTGTAAACGATCAGAAATTGTTTGCTGAGCAACATTTAATCTTTCTGCAAGTTGTTTTTGAGTTTGTCATGCATCTTCACCCAATAATGCTTGTAATTGTTGGTCTTCAAACCTCTTTGATTGACCTGAATGTTCTTTGTCTTTCACATCAAAATCATCACTTTTAAAGTGTTTAAACCAGCATTCACAAGTATCTTGAGATGGAACATGTTTACCATAAGCTTCCCGGAGTATATGATAACTTTCATCAGCACTTTTCTTCAAAATACAGTAATGAAGTAAAAACTTCCCACAAATGCATGAAATCTGACATTTTTAAGTGTAAAAATATCAATGGTGCTAACACCTTTGGCAAATTTGACATATGAAATTTTGAAGCTTGCTGTCAATACAACAAAATAGCATACATATCAAATCACATCTATAGCAACTTTTGTGTAACTCCATCAATTGAAAAAAAAAATCCGCATTATTAATAGGTACACCTGGTAAAAGTGGTAATAAAATCAAGATACAAAACATAAAATACAAGAAAATGGTCATATATCAATTTAAATGG